GGCCGCGGGAGGGAGCGAGGGAGCGGGCACGGCGCGGAGCAGCGGAGCGGGCCGAGTGCGCGTCTTCCCCGCCGCCGGCAGGGCAGGTAAGGACCCCGGCCCGTCCCCGCGCCGCCCCTCCTCCCGCCACCTGCTATTCCTGCCCCCGGGAGCGAGAGCGCGGCGGGGGCGGGGGAGGAGCCGCCCTACCTTCCCCTGCACCGCGGAGGGCGAGGGACCCCTGCCGGCCTGCGGGCCCCAGCCCCCTCCTTCCTTCTCTCTTCTCTGTCCTTCACCTCCTCTCTGTCCTTCGCAGCCTGCCTGCTTCTGTCCCTCCGACTCCGTCCCTTTCTTCTTGAACCCACCCGCTGCCCTGGAGGAGGTGGGTGGGGAGGGGCCAGCTGCTGTGGGGTCGGGAGTGGGGGGCTCCTGACCAACTCCCTCCACCTCCTTCGGCATGGCCATTACCATGGCAACGAGGGTGTACTGGGCTCCGGAGGGCAGACAAAGGTGGGGGACGGACTAGGACCTCCTGGGGAGGGCAGGGGTCTGCTGTTCTTCCATAGGAAGTAGACCCTGGCACTGCTGTGCTTCATTTTCACCCCTTTTGCCCCAAAGCCATTATGCCCATCCTCCCAGCCTCTGCTGTGTTCAAGGTTTCACCCGCTTTCCTCTTAGCCTCCTCCCCAGGGCTCCCTGCAGCTCAGCGCCATTAAGAGCCAGACTGTCCTAAAGGGAAACTGAGGCTCTGCGCCGGGGGTGGGGGTCTCAGAGTCTCCCGGTGGGAGTCAGCGCCTTAGCGAACTGTGGGTTTTTCTTCTCAGTCTCCCGTTCCCGGTTACCACCTCCGCCCCGCCCCTCCTCCCCGCAAGGCCTCTTCTCCAGGGGCGCCTGAGAGGTCCTTCTATTTTCAGATACTACCACTTTGCCCCCTCTTTCTCTTCTGCCAAACTCTCCTCCTTCTCCCTGGTTCCCCCTCTTTCCATTTCTGGATGCTTCTGATGTCAGTGGTTTCCCCGCCTTCGGGTTCCCTGGCCCCCCCTTCTTTGGTGGCAGCCTCTTTTCTCCCATTTTCCCAGCTCCCTGGGGAGCTGGAGGGTAATCAGCCAGGTTTGGGGAAACACTCTTGCCCACCAAGACCGGGCCAGGGAGACTGACAGGTAGGAGAGGTGTTTGACTTCAAACCCCAAGGAGACACCAGTTCTGTGGCTCCAGGTCAGTCCTTCTAAAGAGGTTTAGGGACTTGAAGATGGGGGCGGGTGTATCATAACCTGGGAGTTCCAGAGTTGGGAAGAAGGGCTAAAAAGGGATGGGAGATAGGAAGGTGAGAATATCTTTTTTGGCATGGGGATATATTCAATGTTACAGCATGTGCCTGGCAAGCGCAAGGTCCTGAGTTTGATTCCTAGTACCCGCCCCTCCGAAAAAAGAGTATCTTTTTCCTGGCAGTTTGAAATCAGAGGCAGTCTTGTCTGTGTGGGGTGCTTGAGTGGCCGTCTGATTGAGGCAGGGGGAAACTCAGACCCCCATAACCCCAGCAGTCAGTCATTTCAATAGTTTGAAGGGAAGGGGCCCCAAGGTGCCAGTTAAACAGCAGTCTAGGCTCACCTTTGCCCTCCTCTTCCCTCATCTCATCTTTCCTTTGCAGCTGGTCCAAGCGGCTGAGCCACCTCCAAATCCCTTGGGCCATCCGGAAGATTCCTGCCTGGTCAAGAAGCTGAGGAGACAGAGACGTGCAAATCCCAACTTGGGGACCAGAGCACCCCAGCCAGTCTTGCAGCTGGGAAAGCAGCCAGCTGGCCTTCCGCATCAATTCCCAGGACACTTAAGGAAGGACCACCTCTGCTGACCCACAGCCTCCCCCTGCCCTGGCCCTAGCTGGGTCAGTCATGCCATGCTGAGCAGGGGGGTGGGCCTGGGCACAGCCTGACTGACTACAGGGCAAGGATCGTGGGCATCATGGGGGTACATGTAAGTGGGGCTCCTGGGTGAGGCCTAGCCCCCGCCCCCAGAGCTCAGAGGGGGTGGGGGGCTGAGGATAGGATGGCTCGGGGCGGGGTGGGGGCAGAGGAGGCCTCCCTGCGCTCCAATGCATTGTCCTGGCTGGCTTGTGGGCTCCTGGCACTGCTGGCCAATGCTTGGATCATCCTCAGCATCTCGGCCAAGCAGCAGAAGCACAAGCCGCTGGAGCTGCTGCTCTGCTTCCTGGCGGGCACACACATCCTCATGGCGGCCGTGCCCCTCACCACATTCGCTGTGGTGCAGCTGCGGCGCCAGGCTTCTTCTGACTATGACTGGAACGAGAGCATCTGCAAGGTCTTTGTGTCCACCTACTACACGCTGGCTCTGGCCACCTGCTTCACGGTCGCCTCACTGTCCTACCACCGCATGTGGATGGTGCGCTGGCCCGTCAACTACCGCCTCAGCAATGCCAAGAAGCAGGCCCTGCATGCTGTCATGGGCATCTGGATGGTCAGCTTCATCCTCTCCACGCTGCCTTCCATTGGCTGGCACAACAACGGAGAGCGCTACTACGCCCGAGGCTGCCAGTTCATAGTCTCCAAGATTGGCCTTGGCTTTGGCGTCTGCTTCAGCCTCCTGCTACTCGGGGGCATTGTCATGGGGCTGGTCTGTGTGGCCATCACTTTCTACCAGACGCTGTGGGCCCGGCCCCGGAGGGCTCGGCAGGCCCGGAGAGCGGGGGGCAATGGCAGAGCCAAGGCAGGTGGGCCAGGGGGCTTTGGTACCCGGCCGGCTTTTGAGGTGCCAGCCATTGTGGTGGAGGACACCAGAGGGAAGCGGCGGTCCTCGTTGGATGGCTCCGAGTCCGCCAAGACATCACTGCAGGTCACCAACTTGGTCAGCGCCATCGTCTTTCTCTATGACTCTCTCACAGGGGTGCCCATCTTGGTGAGACTGGGGTCCCCCTAGCTGTTCTCCCTAACACCCAGGTCCCTGCATCGTCACCTCCAGCCCCATCAGCCACGCAGCTGTTCCATCATCTTCTTCCCGTTCCATCTTCTGTCTCCTTTTCCTCACCCACGCAATGCATTTGTGACCCCTCTTCTCCATCATCCATCTTCTGGTTCCCACTTCACACCTCCAGGCTCCGCCATCTGCCTTCCAGTTTCCACGATCCGGCTCCATCCTCCATCCTCAGCTCCACTACTTGTCCTCCGGGTCCATCGTCTGCCTCGAAGCTGCACTGCTCAGCCTGTCATCCGGGCACCAGAACCATGCTCACTCCCCCTTGCCCCCGGATACCGGTCTCTGAGTGCTCCTGGGTGGCCAGTGCAGAGGGCTCGCCCTACCACCCAATCCTGTCCCTATTCCCGGGTTTCTTTGTTCCAGTTTCCTGCACCATCTCTGTACCTCCGTTCTTCTCTCTCCAGATTCTGGGGCTCTGTCTCCAGCACTCTCCCCTAGCCTTCCTCTGAGTCAAACTCCACCCCACCCCACTTCCATCTTCTCTTCTGTCCTCCCTGGGACAGGCACCCTTCCCGCCCAGGCCTCGGCTCTGGGCCCTGACCTGCCGTTGTCTATCCTCCGCCAGGTGGTGAGCTTCTTCTCCCTGAAGTCTGACTCGGCTCCCCCGTGGATGGTGCTGGCCGTGCTGTGGTGCTCCATGGCACAGACGCTGCTGCTGCCCTCCTTCATCTGGTCCTGCGAACGCTACCGTGCCGACGTGCGCACAGTGTGGGAGCAGTGCGTGGCTATCATGTCTGAGGAGGATGGCAATGACGGTCAGAGAAGGGACAGGGCTCTGGCGTTCCTGGACCTCTGTGGACTCTGCCCTGTCCACCACCCCTTCCCTGAGGCGCTGGCCTGCCCTGCAGTGCCCCTGCTGGATGGAGCCTGCGCTCCCACAGCTCCCCTTTGCTCTTTGCTCAGGCTCGTTGCTGCCCACTAGAGGCTGCCTTCTGTTGGAGGGCTCCTTTCCCTGGCTGGGGCTCTTCTCTAGAAGCCCAGTGGCCCAGCTCTGGCCCTGACCAGGCAACTGCCTGGGAAGCAGTCCCCAGTCGTAATGCAAAGAAGCCATGGCACTAAAGGAAAGCTAAGCTTCCTGAGCGACCCCAGCTCCAGAGACAGTTCTTGGAGGAGGGCAGGTAACTTGCAAAAAGAAAGTCTGTATGTAGGAAGACCAGGCTCTCAGCACGGAGTGCCACAAATGCCAGCCACCCTGTGGGTCCTCTTGGAGCTTACAGACCCATGGGAACTGAAGGGTTCTCTGGGAGCTTAGAAAGGGGTGTTCTCTTGGGGTTGGGGATTTAGCTCAGCGGCACAGCGCCTGCCTGGCAAGCACAAGGTCGTGAGTTCGATTCCTGGTACTAGAAAAACAAAAACAAAAACGGGGTGTTCTCTCCCTGTGACCATTCTGCCCTTTGTCTCTCCTAGATGGGGGCTGTGACGACTACACAGATGGCCGAATCTGCAAAGTTCGATTTGATGCGAATGGGGCCACGGGGCCAGGGGGCAGGGACCCCAGCCAGGTGAAGCTGCTGCCGGGCCCGCACACGCTCTTTCCCCCTCTGGAGAGAGTGCACTACTTACAGGTATGGAGACCCAGCCCTGACCCGGCTCCCCGCACCACTATTCTCCAAGCCCGGTAGCTGCCCCCCTGCGGCGTAGCTCAGGCTGGCAGGGCACGCTGAGGAGTAGGTGAAGGAAAGGCACAGGAAGAGCGGCTCCCCAAGTCCTCTCAGGGCCAGGTTTGCCCACCAGAGCCAAGGTCTAGAGGTTCAGAGGGTGGAGCCATCTGGTAGGTCCTCATTTTGTTCCTGCCACCTCTCCCTTTGTCTGTGCAGCACCCCCAGGTCTCACTCACTTCTCTTCCTAGGTCCCTTTGTCGCGCCGTCTGTCCCATGATGAAACCAACATCTTCTCTACGCCTCGAGCACCTGGCTCCTTCCTGCACAAGTGGTCATCCTCTGATGACATCCGGGTCCTCCCTTCCCAGAGCCGCGCCCTGGAGGCCCCTCCTGAGTACCTAGGACAAAGACATCGCCCGGAGGACCAAGAAGATGAAGAAGAGGCCGAAGGTGGGGGGCTGGCCAGCCTTCGCCAGTTCCTGGAAAGTGGGGTTCTGGGATCAGGTGGGGGACCCTCACGGGGTCCTGGCTTTTTCCGGGAGGAGATCACCACTTTCATTGATGAGACACCTCTGCCTTCTCCAACGGCCTCTCCAGGACCCTCTCCTCGAAGGCCCAGGCCACTGGGTCTCTCACCCCGCCGACTCTCCCTGGGGTCCCCTGACAGCAGAGCCGTCGGACTTCCTCTGGGGCTAACCACAGGGCGACGCTGTTCCCTGACAGGGAGTGAAGGCAGTGCAAGGGCCTGGGTGAGACCCTGGGGCCCAGGGAACCCCATCTTCCCCCAGCTGACCCTGTGAGCCAAGGTGGGCTTGCTGGACTCCGAGGAAGGGGCCAGGTGAGGACACTTGTTCTGGCGCTGAGCCTGGGACTGCTGCCCCTGGACTCGGGGGAGATGGGTAACTAGATCTGCGGTTGAGGAGCCCCTGCTCTTTACCAAGTGACCAGATGCCCTACTCACCCTCCATCATCCATAGCGAAATGTATTAAAGTCTGAGTGTTGCCATAGAAATCTCAGTGTCCAGAATATGGTGCTGGCAAAGCGGGTGGTCAGGGCCTGTGGGGTGAATAACTCACAGAAGACAGAACCGCAGAGATGGGGACGGAAGACACACAGGGAAATCACCCCCCGTTAGCCTGCACACACAGCAGAGAGGGGCGCGTGTGGTGCTGGGGTGAGCACGGGGAGACACCTGAGTTCGAAGGGTCTTTGTTCAGCTTTGTGGAGGTGGCTTTGGGTGGTGGTTCTGTCACTGACACCCCGACCTTCCTGTTTTCCCCAAATCCATCCAAGACCTCACTTTCTGGGCAGTAGAGTGTTGGTGTCTGACTTGGGGTTCCAGGTCTGGGTAAATGCCCCACACTCCTTTTCCTGGACCCATGAAAGGAGGGGCACACAGCCCAGGGAGTCCCACAGCACGGGCGCTGGGGTTGGTGTCACCAGGCCCTCCAGAGGCTCCAGGCCTTCTCCGGTTCCCTCACTTGGACGTTCCTCTAACTCACACCGGCCCCACTCGCGTTCGCGATCGGTTCCCTTTCCGCACAGGCTCCCCGACTTTTCTGATCTTTCTGCCGGCGGCCCCCACCGTTCCGCCCTCCCCAGCAGCTCTCCGGCCTCGCATTCCTTCTCTTCCTTCCTCTCCCTCCTCCTCTCCCTGGCCCCTCCGTCCCTCCCCTTCTCGCTTTCCTCTCCCGCCCCCCAGCCCCGCAGTCCCCTCCGCAGCCGGCGGTGGTTCGGGCACCATGCTCAGACTTCTCCGGCCACTGCTGCTGCTGCTCCTGCTGCCACCGCGGGGGTCCACCGAACCCCCGGGGCTGACCCCATTATCCCCGGGGGCACCGCCCCAGCCCCCTGACTTGCTCTACGCAGACGGACTGCGCGCCTACGCGGCCGGGGCTTGGGCGTCCGCCGTGGC